GCACCCCACTTCCCAGTTCCAAAATCTGTACTGGCTTCCCATTGCTGCTGTAGCAAATAACCATCAACCTAATTACTGAAGACAACACGCATGTGTTATCCTACATGGAAGTCAGACTTTTGAAATGAGTCTTACTGGGCTAAAATCAAAGTGTTGACAAGGCTGTGCTCCTTTCTGGAGGCTCTTAGGGAGCATCCGTTTTCCAGGCTGATGCAGCTTCTCGAGGTGCACACATCCCTTGGTGATAACTCCCTTCCATCTTCAAAGCCAGCAATGACAAGTTAACTCGTTTTCACATCGCATCACTCTGACTCTCTCTGACTCTCTTGCTTCCATCTTTCCTTTAGAAGGACCTTGTGATTGTTATGGGTCCACATAGATAACCTGGGATAATTTCTCCATCTCAAGGTCAGCTGATTAACAACCCTCATTCTTTTTTTAAAATATATTTTTATGGATTGCAGAGAGGAAGGGGGAGAGAAAAATATCAATGAGGAGAGAGAATCATTGATCGGCTGTCTCCTGCACGCCCCCCACAGGGGATCGACCCTGCAGCCCAGGTATGTGTCCTAACCAGGAATCGAACCACAACCTCCTGGTTCACAGGTCAATGCTCAACCACTGAGCAACACTGACCGGGCAACAATCCTAATTCTATGTGCAACTTTAATTCCCCCTTGCCAAGTGCCATGGAACATGATGTATTCAAAGGTTTCAGGAATAAGGACATGGGCATCTTTGGGTCAAGGGTTGCGGGGCATTTTTCAGCCTACCATTCTATTAACTGTTGAGGAAAACCACCTGTTTTGAGAAGATATAAGACATTTCCATCATCATTAGAATCTCTTCAAGTCCACGCTTCTTCATGTACTAGTATGTCCTACCAGGACTAGAAATTAAGGTACTCCAACCTCACATGGTCTGCTTTCTCTAATTAAAACTTCACATTCCAAAAGAGACATTTTGGAGGGCTAACATGATCTAAATAATTATAAGCTAACAGTGTAAAATATATTTAACTAGGTGTGTTTAAGACAAAATTGAAAGAAAATAATCTTAAGAAGTGGAGTATAAAAGAGTAACAAAGAGGAAAAAGATAATGAAGTTTGTCTTCTCTTTCTTGTATTGGACATGTTATCCTGATTTGATAAGTAGTACAGTCAATGGTTTGTTAAGTGGTAAAGTGAAATTATGCCCTTGACATATTAAAAAATGTATACAATAGGGTGCAATGGTCCTCCCATTTCTTCCCTCCTGCTGCATCGCCCCCTCACCCTTTCTCTCAATTCATTTTGGTTTGTGAACTTGTGGTTTTGGTTTATGAACTGGACCAAGAAACCAGTAGAGATAAATCCATTAGTCCCATTAATTTATTTGAACTGATATGGCAATAATATTCCAGAAAATAGAGATGGAGGGAGAAAAAGAGGCTGGTTCTAAAAATCTCTAAGATAAAGAGATTCAGACAACCTGTTCCCAGGTCTAGCATACTTAATGAGTTGATTGGAGATCAAGGGAGGATTTTACAAGGGACGATTTTGTAGGTTCGACCACCAAAGGGGTCGTGACCCACAGGTTGAGAACCGCTGCTTTAGAAGGACCTTGTGATTCAGTAGGTTTGGGGTAAAGCCTGATGTTCCATATTTCTGACCAGATCACAGGTCAGGCTGATGCTGCTGATACCCAGACCACACCCTAAGTAATGAGGGTTAGATCACGTCTCTGGTTGGCATTGGCATTTGCAAGAGTGACATTTGTACTGCTGTCATTGTGAGCATAGGAATACAAAGCATCTTTTCTGCCTGAGCTGACAAATTGTCCCAGGATGGCTTTAAACTGAATACAAGTCCTTGTTAACATTTTTGTTAAATTGGTACGACAACTCTCCTATTCTAAATGAAGTGGAGGTAAGTAGGTTTTAACCTACATATCATCTACAAGACAGAAGAATGGACCTGGAGGGTGATGACATATTCAGGTATGCATTTATCCACTCAACAGTCATTTCACTCAATTCCTATTATGAACCATGCTCAAGGCTAGGCACTTAGGCGGCAGAGATTAGTTCCCTAGTGCAAAAGAGGACTTTTCTGGTGCAAAAGATTATTTCTCTAGTGCAAACGATTACTTCTCTAGGGCAAAAGTACTCTCATGACTTTTTCAGGGCATATCAAAGATCCAGATGAGGGAATGTCTTTCACAATCACCTTTTGGTGGCTCCACTCACCCTTAACCTTAGATTGGTTGCTTTCCCCACGTACCCCATATTCACAAAGCACAGGAGAAGAACACAAAACTGTCTCCAGCTGACAGTCTAACCCTTGGTAAAACTGAATAGCCTCTGGCAGAAATTACTCAGGTTAAATGCAGTACTTACGAAGAGATTGGGTGTGCCACAGAATGTGAGGATGGTAAAAGCAGAAGTTAACAGCTTTAGCAAATCTCAGTCCAGGATTAAAGGAATATTGACAAGAGTAATGCCATTGAGGAAAAGAAAAACAAAAAAACCCACAAGTCTTAGCCAGGTCTACAGTGCATGACAACTAGAGGCCATTGGACCCAACTGATCTTTGCACCCTGTCTCCCTATACTTGTAAAATTTACTTTGTATTTTTTATCAACTGGTACCACTTCCTGTTTCTTGAATATCCATTTCACGCCTTCCCACCTCCATGCCTTTGCTCAGACTGAAAAAATAAAGCAAAAGAAAAAGAAACTATTATATATTTTTCCAAATATGACCAACCTTTTCAGGTTCAACTCTAATGCTGCTTCTTTATGAAATAGTTCTCCTTCTGTGCTCTCATATCATTGAATCTATTTTGAAAATAGCATGAGATTCTCTTTCAATGATGTGCTAGTGGGTATTTCTTTATCCTTTTAGATCTTAAATTGTAAGCACCCTGACGAGAAAAGCTCTACTGACCCCTGATTATCATAGGTGGATGGGTTGGGAGTTGAGGAGGAGCAGGTTTCAGAGGTGGCAAAGTTTATTGAAATGTGTTTTTTTAAATTATTTAAATGTCTTTTTTTTCTTTTGCTTATTCTGACTGATACTTGTCATGAGAAGATAATAGTAGGCAAAAATGGGATGAGTCTAAAATGAGATCAGAGAAAAAAATAAATAAATAAAATGAGATCAGATCATGTGGTAGGTTTGGGGAGAAATATAAGAATTGGAGATAACCATGAACAATTTGACTCAGAGTTCCTGAGTTTGAAGAAAGATCACATAATCATGATTAGTTGTGAATTCACAATGAAACCACATAACGAGATTTTTTTTTTTTTTAAGTCAGAAAGATGACCTCAAACACAGTATCAGAACTTATTTTCCTGTGCTGGGATACACACCACACGTACAATCTCCCCTCCCGCCCCCCACCCCCAACAACAACAACAAATAGAACTAAATATATGAAACCAAGCAGAATCAGGACCTTACTGGACAGATGTAAATATCTGCAACCATCGAACTGCGCTTGCAAGAGGAGATGGGCTTGAAACCTGGAGACCAGGACAAGAAAACCATCCCTACAGACATCAACTTCGCTGCAGAAATGTTGGAATGTTTAACTATGGTGAACTCCAGTATTTCTGCACCAGAGCGTAGTGGAGAAGATTTTTTTTTTTAAGTAGGCCAAATTTTTCTTGAGTCCCCTCCTTCCTTTTTTCTTTCTCTTCTATTTGTCCGGTCCCCTCGTTTTCGTCTCCACAGAGCAACTGTTGAGATGGCGATTGGGTAGCGGCAGGGTCCAGGAGTCAATTCCCCTGCCCTGGTCTGGTTGTAGTGGGTGGGACTCAGCCAGCAGATGTCTATGCAGTTTTCCTACGCCTTCCCTGAGCTAGACCCGAGGCAAAAAGCGGACAGCAGCTGGGGAGCCGCCAGCAGCTGGGGAGCCGCCCCCAGCGACCTCCACCTGCGCCCAGAGGAGGCGCC